GAAATTAAATGCCGAGTGAAGAAAGCACACGCTTCCACTCAGCATCATAAGCCCATGTAACCCCATAATCTTTATTCCAGTCAATAAATATTCCCAGTTCTCTTCTCTCTGCGCTGTTCGAAACGAGCATTCCTGACCCTTCCTTCCACCTCTCTTCTTACCCTGCCATTCAAATTGTACTTCGAGTCCTCCTATTAGCTTGAGAGGCATGTTGCCAGGATCGCGACTTACTTCAGCACGTTCGGGCCCCGTTTTGATAGTTGCCAAATTTCCACCTCCGTTTTATAAACCTTTTCTTTTTCGATGTGTCAGTGGCATTTTGCATCTGAGCACTTTTGCGTACTGTCTGCTAGGGGTCTTTCGTCTGTTATTGTAGAATTTCACGAGCGCCACGTTTAATGCTGCCTTGCTTACGAGTTAAATGTCGAAATGATACGGATGTTAGACTCAATGCAACAAGGAGCTGACTTCGGTCAGGGAGCACAGAAAATACATGAAATTTAAAAATAGTAGACGCTGCCGAGCGAGCAAATCCCTCATCGGGGCTAATAGATCTTGGCAGTAAAATAACCGGGATTTGGAGGAGGGAACTACTTCGGCACTGCATAGGCTTCAGAGGACATTGGTCTCGACGGGAATTACTGTCTCATTGTACTGGTTATTAGGGAGGGGAGGGAAGCTTGGCTTGGGCTTTACTTTCTCTGCTGTAAGGGTTTTCCCTTTGCAGGTCGCCAAAATTTATTGAGAAATCCATAGGTTAATTGTTTGACAAGTTGTCTGCGAGCGTCCTGGCTGTTGGCTGAGTTCGCTAACACTGGGAGAGGCAGATGAATGCCCAGCAAGCCGTGTGTGTCCGCAGATCATTATTTTTCAGATGTTTCTGTTCAGGTGTGCCTACACATGTACTTGACCATAAATTTTATTGTGATGATTTTGCACGGGCTGAGAGTTTGAAGGTCGTTTTCGAAGCTCCTTATTGATTCGAAATTTATCGCAGTGCTGCTCGGGTTTCGCAGAGCTCCTTCGCTGACTACAGAATCAGATTTTACTGAAGAACTTCCTATTTGCGCGCGTATTTTAGTGGTCACAACAATAGCATATTCAAAACTCAGAGTTGCGGCGTAAAAAACAACAGATCGGACCACGTAGTATCCAGCCCGAAGAGGCTGTTTAGTGAGCAATACAGTAGAACCAGCGGTGATCACTGGATTACCGGACTGTAGGCGAACACTGATGAATTTGCGTTGCGACACTAAGAAATGGGAATAAGTTGGAATC